TGCTAGCCCAGTCCCCAGGCCTTGAACTGCCAGCCCTGGAAGAGCATCTCTTTGTGGCTCAGGATTCCTATCTGGGTAGAGAAGAAGGACTCAACCAGCTGGTGGTAACACTAACTTTCCCCCTGTGTGTGCACACATGCACAAGTTCCCCCATTGCCTCTCAGGATGGGGTTGAAACATAAGGTTAGGCAAGCATTTCAATTATGAGGTGTTAAAGCCCTCCCCAGCATGGATCTCAGCTTCAGTGATCAGTTACGCCAGAGACCATTAGCTGTGACAGGATAATAGGTCCTTGGGGACAACATAGCCACACCCAAGTTCTCACAGTGGAGGGGGGCATGGGTCCTGGAACAGGCAGAGGTGTCAGTCATCCAGTGGGGTAGGCTCTGGGACTTGGGGAAGGGGTGCGATGGTTAATTTGGAATGTCAACTCAGTAAGACTTAGAATTACTATGGAAACACCTCTGGGCCTGTCTGTAATGAAGTTTCTAGATTGGGTTAGGTCAGGAGGGACAATCTACCTTGAATGTGGGCATCACCATTCCCTGGGTTGAGAGTCCAGACTGAATAGAAAAGAAATCAGCTGAGCACCAGTGTCCTCTCTCCTCTTTCCGACCATGGACATAGTGGGATCAACTGCTCCTGTTCCTGTTTCTGTGATTTCCATGCCGTGACAGGCAGCACTTTCAAACTACTGACCAAAATAAACCTTTCTTTCCTTCTGTCCATAAGTTGTTGTTATCAGGCATTCAGTCACAGCAGTAAGAAGAGTGACTAAGACTGGAGACCAGAGACACAGGGACACAGTGTGTGAGTCCACCAAGACCCGAAGACCTGGACATGGCAGCTGCTCTCCCGAGCCATCATGGCGATGGGTTCCAGACCTGGTTACCTCCCTTCTTGCTCCTAACTGCCTTTGTCCTTATTTCCAAGTCCTCAGTAACAGCTGTCTCTCCTGAGAAAGTTACTCTATATCCACCTGCTTAAAGAAGGAAGAAATCTAGAAGACCATGACCCTCACCCCACAGGCAGTTCCCCAACAGCCACTCTGTCCCCTCTTAGCCATCCCTGTGCCATCTGTCCCCTTCAGTCAAGGCCACAGGTACTCTGAAAAGTGACAGCCAGCAGCGACGGCTTGCTACCGCTGTCATCCCGCCTGTCTTCTGCCGGCTCTGGCTTGGGTTGGTACACATTCCTTGCTTCCAGACCATCCAGGCACTATGAGCGGAGGTGGTGACGGACTACAGCTGCCCAAACCCAGGGTGCCCTGACTCCCCCTGCTTGCAAATCCTTTTTGTTCACACATATGTGCTGGACCTAGTGGTCAGCCCAGCACCACTGTGGGGAACAGAAGCACAGCCTGAAGGGTCAGCTAGAACAACATTGATCAGGCAAAACATCATCCATGATTGCTAATGACTGCAGAGATACCCTTTCTCTGGCAATTTCTAGAACCACATCACATGGAGGGCTCTTGGAGGAGCCATCTTACATCGATTACTTTTTAATACAAGAGCCATGCTTTAATACTAGGAAACACTGACATTTGGGAAGAGCAGAGATTCCTGTGGATTCTCTAAGAAAAGGTGCCCAGCATGGGGCTGCCCCCCAGTAAAAGGGACCTGGAGTCACACAGGTGTCAGAGGAATCAAATTGGGTACTTGGTGGAGGGAAGGTCACCTTGTTCCCTTGCCATAGGCCAGATCTGGAGAGGCTTATTCTATAGGCTCCTGGTTTGGGGGTTCCCCCAGGACTCTGGGTCCCTGGATAAGTGGAGTTCATCCCTGCAGGAGCCTTTGGAATTCAGATTTCAATCTTTAACAATGAGAGCAGAAGCCCGGCAGTGGTGGTGCACACCTTTAATCCCAGCACTCCAAGGCAGAGGCAGGCGGATCTCTGTGAGTTTGAGGCCAGCCTGGTCTATAAGAGCTAGTTCCAAGACAGGCTCCAAAAGCTACAGAGAAACCCTGTCCTGAAAAATCAAAAACAAACCAAACAAAAAACAAAACAAAAAAACAATGAAAACAGAGGATCTTGGTCTCAGCCTCCGGAGCCTCAGGGTTGAGTGGGGAAGCCTGGCTCAGAGGAGTGCAGTGCTGGCCTTCCTCCTGCCCAGCTCCGCAGGGTTTTGTAAGTATGCTGTGCTAGCTCATCTTACCTCCCTTCCTTCGTTGCCATTTCCCCTCCTTCCCTCTTTTACAATTTATTTTACATTTCTGAAACTGTCTGTTTCAATGCAAGCTCCCCTAAATGCAGTCATAAATAAAAACAGAATGTACACGTTAGGCTCACTTGTGCTTCATACACATGAGGGGCGTGCATGCTCCACCCTCTTAAATTCTGTGTGCAGGTTTCTGCAAAGAATAAGAGCTACCTTTAGGTGGAGCCATGCCCTTGTCTGGTCCCTTAAGGGTTAATCCTGTGGGGCAAGTCAGGACCACCCCTAGGAAAGTGGGTTTACCTTAAGAAAATGTACTTTTCCTGATGTAGAAAAAAACTCAAAGTAATAGAATTGCTGTTATAAAGGATTTGTTAATAGATTTGCTTAGGTGACATAAAATTACACAAAATATAACTTAGTTAAGGGGTTGCTGCCCCCAAATATTCCAAAGGTAAGTAGCATACTAATCAGGCCTGTTAGAGATAAACAAATTAACAATGCTAGGATATAAATGTTTGCTCACAAAGATTGACCAGCTATTAGACTAATCCCCAAAGAGCATGCCTTTGACATTTCAAGGGCGCCGTGCAGGGCCATAAACAATGTTAATTCCTGGCCTACCATAAAACCCCCAGTTCTCTTCTTGAGAAAAGCATAATTCTGCCAGATGGACAAGATGAACCTAGGGAACATTTCTTTGAAAAGAACAACACTGGTTGAATAATTTTAAGGAATTATTCTGGCGAAATCTTTGCTCCTCGAGTCTCCCACTTGCCCAAGTGTCATACTTGCACTCCCCTTCCTGCCACCATTAAATTGTTACAAGTGTGACCTGGGGCCAGCACCTCACAGGGAGGTAAGGATGACGGCCCTGTAAGGTGCATGAGCTTAAGCTTTACCAAGCTGGTAAAGTCTTCTGTTAGCAGCCTTGGCCCTTAGCCCCAGCTGGCTGGGTGCTTTAATAAAGAGACTTCCCTTCATCTCTAAGTGTGCAGAGAGACTTCTCAATGAAAGGACTATTATTTCTATAACATTCCTTCCCAGAATTTCAGTCCTTAGTGCAGTCCCTAGGAGCCATGAGGTTCTCCTGGGTCTGCCCATCTCTGTACTTTCCTACTCAGAAAGATGCAATGATTCCCTTCTTTTTATCTGGGATGTTGGTTAGTCTAACTATTCATTCCGACTCCCCAATGCAGTCTTTGGCCTCTCTTTCTAATGCTGCCATCTCCACAGCCTGGCTGTTTGCCACCATATGACTGACCTTGGCCTCCATGCCTGCTCATCTTCCCTATTCTCCTCCTTCCACCAGCCGTAAAGTTGACCTCAATCTTTCATCGGAGTTTTCTTTGTCCTCCAGGAGGACAAGCTCCTAGCACAGGCTGCCACACACAGTCTCTGCCCTGTCCCTTGCTATCTTAAGCAGAACTCTGTCTGATTGCCACTCTTCAAATCCAACCTGGTTTTTTTTCCTTTTCCAGGATAAAACAAAGCAATGAACACCCATTTTTTTTCTCTACAAAACACTGGCTTGGAATAAGGCTGAGTATCAGGCCCTCCTGGCTTGGCCTTTGGCTGTAGCGAGGTCTTTCTCAAAGTGAAAAGACTGGTTATGTGGGTGCTGAATTTAGACTTCAGGATCTGGTGGGAGGCACCCACACCTCCGAGACACCTCTGTCTTTCTAGATGAGCAAGACCAATACGGCAGGAAAGCTGCGTTCCTCCCCTCCGTCCACTGCCCTCTGCCTCCACCTCTATCTCCTTCTCAATTCTTCTCTCAGCTATGCCTTGTCTTCTCTGTCTGTCCTCTCCATGCCACAAGTCAGAGGGACCCTGCAGAAGATATCAGGGAATCTGGTGCTCCATGTCCTACTTCACGGACTAGGTGTGTACATTCTCATCTCTGAGGTAAGGCCACACAGATCTTGGGAGCACCCATGCTGCCTCAGAGCCTTGCACGGGCCAGTTCTTACTTGCCATACCCTGCCTCGCTGTCCAGATTCCTGTAGCTCACTAGAGTATTTCCCTAAATGTCTTCATTGTGAGTAGTGCCCCTATCTCGTCTCCCTGCTTCATTTCCTACTCTGTCCTCTCCTCTAAGGGACACTATTTCTTTTCGCTAGTCCTTTCCTTCTCTAGAAGCCAGAATATGGGAAGGCTATCCTCTCCTGTTTCTTCTGTAGCCATAAAACCCAGCTATGAGGTGTTCAGCACATCTGTTACTAATGGTTCCAAGAGGCCCAGTGTCCTAGGGATACAGAGGCAAAGGCTCAGGGTAAGGATTATGCCCACATCTCACTCACAGGGGTTGAATAAGTGCTTGTGATTGTTTAATCTCAATCCTACAATCTCTCTGCTTGAGGTCAAGGTCCATGCTCTGCAGAAAGGCCCATGTGCCCAGTTCTGCTTGTCAACCTCTACTGCAGGCTGTTCCCAAGCTCCCCTCATAGAAGCATCGATGCCTTCTGTGGCTGCTCTGCCTTCCCACTCTAACCAAGGAGGTAGGTATGTTGAACTATATCCAATTAGCATGAGGACCAATGTGTTCCCCACTGTGTTTACCTGGGGCTCCTGCTCTGAGGATGAGACTTTCCCATGCAACCCCACCAGCCCATGTGTGTAACACAGGGAATGATAGTTTGGAGCACTAACAGACATACATGCTCCATCTGCTTTGATTGGCTCACAGGCAGAACTTCACTCTTAAAACTGTTGGCAAGGACTCCCACTGGGCCTTTGTCTTATCTGGGCTAACAAAATCTTCCAAGCAGCATGGGACCTTGAGCCCACCCTTGTAAGCAGTCTTGGCTCCCCAGAGCATGCCAGTCTTGTGCCCACTCACCCTCATCCCCAATTCAATGTTCTCTGCGCCGTACACCTCCATGCCTGGGTCCAGCAGGCCAATGTCCCTGAAATACTTCCGATCCACCACAAACGAGCAGCCAATCATGGCAGGTGTCCTGGGAAAGGAGAGATACTGAGTGAGGGTATCATTATGGTGCCGCCCAGAGCCCAGTCTGCCTGTGAGACCAAAGCTGAGTCTGCACCTTCATATCCCCATGCTTCTTGTTCCCACAGGCATCAAAGTGTCCTGGGTATAGTGAGACAGTCATTTCTTCAGCTGCCATGGACCTGTCCTTGTAGGCCATAAGCCCTGCAGCTGCCGCGGGCCTGTCCTTGTATGCCGTAAATCCTGCAGCTGCCGTGGGCCTGTCCTTGTATGCCATAAGCCCTGGCAAAACAGTACAGACCAGAGTGGGTTTGGCCACTGTTTTCCATGTCGTGTGCCTAGTCTTCCTCATTCAGTGTCTCGTCTTGTTGGTGGATAAAACTTCAGGAATACATGGGGCAGCTGTGTAAGTTGTACACTACTCAGCTTCATGAACCTTGACTGACGTCAGTTTGAATGACAGGCTCTGAAGTTACAGAGTAAACAGACTACCAACTGCCATGTAATATTTCAGTTTAAACCCACACAGTTAAAAATGGCAGCAAAAAGCCTTTTGACATTCTGTTGAAATCATGAATGGATATGCTAATTATCTAGGTACCAAAAATTCATGTCAACCAGGCAGTGATGGTGCACACCTTTAATCCCAGCAGCACTTGGGTGGCAGAGGCAGGTGGATTTCTGAGTTTGAGGCCAGTCTAGTCTACAGAGCAAGTTCCAGGAAAGTCAGGGCTACACAGAAAAACCCTGTGTCTAAAAACAAAAAACAAGAACTAAACAAAACAATCCATCAATGCACACACCCCAGGGAAGAAGAAGCGTGAAAAGGCAAAGACCAATAAAGGTCAGGTGGGGTGGAGAGCGAGTGGCCACATCCTGAAGACACTTCGTAAGTGTGAATGGATTGGCACAGGGTGGAGTACGCTAAGTCTGCTAGGCAGGATGAAAATGACTGGAAAGATGAAGAAAATGCAGTGTCTATGTACAGAGCAGAAGACAAATGGGGACTGAGAGTCACTAGCCACACTTTGACATTCTAGGCTTTGCATAGAAGATTCTGTCTCAGGTGAAGGATGGTATCTCAAAGTTCTTTTGATTTTCAATTCCCTGGTAGCTAAGAAAGTTGAACAAGTCCTTAAGTATCTTTTGGCCATTTGAAATTCTTCTTTTGAGAATTCTCTGTTCAGTTCAGTACCCCATTTTTAATTGGGTTATTTAGAATTTTAATGTCTAGTTTCTTGAGTTCTTTATATATTTTGGAGATCAGACCTTTGTCTGATGTGGGGTTGGTGAAGATTTTCTCTCATTCAGTGAGTTGCCTTTTTGTCTTAAGGACTGTGTCCTTTGCTTTACAGAAGCTTTTCAGTTTCAGGAGGTCCCATTTATTCATTATTGCTCTTATTGTCTGTGCTACTAGGGTTATATGTAAGAAGTAGTCCCCTGTGCCAATGTATTGCAGGCTATTTCCCACTTTCTCTTCTATCAGGTTCAGTGTGGTCGGATTTATATTGATGTCTTTAATCCATTTGGACTTGAGTTTTGTGCATGGTGATAGATATGGATCTATTTTCATTCTTCTACAGGTTGACATCCAGTTATGCTAGCACCATTTGTTAAAGATGCTGTCTTTCTTCCATTGTATAATTTTAGCTTCTTTGTCAAAAATCAGGTGTTCATAGATTTGTGGATTAATATCTGGGTCTTCAATTCAATTCCATTGGAATCAAAAACACCAATGATAACCTATGCTGGAAAGGATGTGGAGTAAGGAAAACCCTCATCTGTTGCTGGTGGGAATGTAAACTTATGCAACCACTTTGGAAATCAGTGTGGTGGTTTCTCAGAAAATTGGGAGTCAACCTACCTCAGAATCCAGCAATACCACTCTTGGGAATATACCCAAGAGATGCCCAATCATACTACAAAGGCATTTGTTCAACTATGTTTATAGTAGCATTATTTGTAATAGCCAGAACCTGAAAACAACCTAGACGCCCCTCAATGGAAGAATGGATAAAGAAAGTGTGGCAATCTACACATTAGAGTACTACTCAGTGGCTAAAAAGGAAAAAAAGAAAGAAAGACATCTTGAATTTTGCATGCAAATGAATGGAAATAGAAAACACTATCCTGAATGAAATAATTCAGACCCAAAAGTATGAATATGGTATATACTCACTCATTAGTGGATTCTAGCCATAAAAAAGGGGCATTGAGCCTATAGTTCACGATCCTAGAGAAGCTAAGTAAGAAGGTGAACCCAAAGAAAAACATATATAGATCCTCCTGGAAATTGGAAGCAGACAAGATCACCAGGCAAAAGTTAGGAGCATGGAGGTGGGGGTGGGATGGGGGAAGGTGAGTGGGAGAGAGAGAAGGCAGAGGGGAGGATTGGGAGAGCTTGGGGGAGTGAGATGGTTGAGATGGAGGAAGAACAGATATGGGAGCAGGGAAAGAGATATCTTAATTGAGGGAGCCATTTTGGGGTTGGCAAGATGCTTGGCTCTGGAGGGGTTCCCAGGAGTCCATGGGGATGACCCCAGCTAGGACCCTGGGCAGTGGAGGAGAGGGTGCCTGAACTGGCCTTGTCCCATAGTCAGACTGATGACTATCTTGAATATCACCGTAGAACCTTAGTCCAGCGACAGATGGAGTTAGAGACAGAGACTCATGACGAAGCACTGGACTGAGCTCCCAAGGTCCAGTTGAAGAGCAGAAGGAGGGAGAATATGATCAAGGAAGTCAGGACCACAATGGGCTGGTCCGCCAACTGAGACAGTGTGCCTGAGCTAATGGGAGCTCACCAAATGTAGCTGGACTGGGACTGACCCAGCATGTGATGAAACTGGACCCTCTGAATGTGGCTGACAATTGGGGCAGTCTGAGAAGCCAATGATAATGGCACTGGGATTTCTCTCTACTGCATGTATTGGCTTTTGGGGATCCTATTCTATTTGGATGCATACCTTCCTAAGCCTGGATGGAGGGGGAAGGGCCTTGGACTTCCCACAGGGCAGGGTATCCTGCCCTCTCTTAGGACTGGAGGGGGAGGTGAGGAGTGTGAGTGGGGTAGCAGGAGGGAAGTGGGAGGAGAGGAGAAAATCGAAATTTTGATTGGTATTATTTATAAAGTAATAAAAAAAGAACTATGTTTGGTGCGGGAGAATTGTCTGTATCCTGTCAATCATGTTTTAGATAAACGTTGATTGGCCAGGCAGGAGGTGTAGGCAGGAAAACCAGACAGGAAGTGGAAATGATGCAAGGAGAGCAGGAGAATTCTGGGAAGGAGGAAGTTGATTCCTCCCACTCCTGCCCAGATCACTGAAGCAGCAGGATGTGAGCTGCCCCACTGAAAAAGGTACTGAGCCACATGGCTAAAATAGATAAGAAAAATGGGTTAATCAAGATGTAAGAGTTAGCTAATAAGTAGCCTGACCTAATGGGCCAATCAGCACTATAACTTACAGAAATCTCTGTGTGGTTGATTTTCTCTGGGGCCTGCCGGATGTGGGGTACCAGGCGGGGACAGAAAACACAAACAAGCAGGCCCCCTCATGTTACAGAATGGCGCCCATCGTGGATAACTGAATCTACAGAAAGCCTGGGAACACTTGGGAAAGATTAGAGTAAAGCATTTCAGTTTTCAGCCGTGGCAGGAAAAAAGCTATGCTGTTTTAAAATGCCGTCTTTCTGGGCTGTCCTGCCAGGGAAAACTCTTAACTTTCAAGCAGACAGTCCAGACTATGGATACAATGTTGCAGCTTGCTTCCTGGCAAGGACCTTGAAACGCCATAGGAGCTTTTGAGTGTTGTTGTCTCCATATTCCTTAGCAAATTAAAGACCCACATGGTCAAAAAAAGTGAGAGAGAGAGAGAGAGAGAGAGAGAGAGAGAGAGAGAGAGAGAAAGAGATACAGTAAAGAAAGATTCAAAGAGTAAGAAAACCTCTAAATGGTTTACATTGTGTTAAAAATATATACAGGCTAAAGGTTAAAGTTCTCAGAGTAAAAAAGAAAGAAAGAAAGAAAGAAAGAAAGAAAGAAAGAAAGAAAGAAAGAAAGAAAGAAAGAAGGAAAGAAAGAAAGAACGAGTAGCTCTGGGGAGGCAGAGACAGACTGATCTCTGGGAGTTCAAAGATAGGCTGGTCTACAGAGGGAGTTCCAGGACAAAGATATGCAGAGAACCTGTCTCAAAAAGCCAAAAGTTAAAAGTAAAAATAAAATAAATAGAGGTTAAAATAAAGCCACATAAAGATGGAAAATACACGGAGAATCTTGATACTGTCTGCTGTTATGCTCTCTTTAAATTGAATGCTGAGGAAGGAGCAACAGCTGCTAAAAGATACTTGCTTATAAATGCTGCAGAATTAATCCAAGATAGGTATTTTGAAAATACCTTGGCTTCAAAACTGAAGTCAAAAGGTATGTTACTTTGGAGAAGAGATTTTGCTTTTGTTTCTACAGAAAATGAGAGGCTGTGGATTTATTCAGAGTTAAGAAAAATCATCTTTGACCAAGAGAGACCACCTGAGCAATCTCCAGTAGGAACAGATGGCCCAGATGTCTGAGTTCTTCATCCAGAACAGGTTCAAGACTGCTGCCTGAGATGATCAAGACTCACAGGATACTTCAGTCAGGACTTGATCATAACTCTAAATTTTCTTTAGGTTCCCATAAGATTATCAGCACCCTCAACCAGCAAGAAGTAGCCTGGAATACTACGCCCACATTCCCAAAAAATGGACTATGGATATTTTCCTTTGTTTGTTTTTTTGTTATTTTGGTTTTTTTTTTTTAAAAAAAAAAAAGAGGGGGAAGTGGTGCGGGAGAATTGTCTGTATCCTGTCAATCATGTTATAATAAACGCTGATTGGCCAGGCAGGAGGTGTAGGCAGGAAAACCAGACAGGAAGTGGAAATGATGCAAGGAGAGCAGGAGAATTCTGGGAAGGAGGAAGTTGATTCCTCCCACTCCTGCCCAGATCACTGAAGCAGCAGGATGTGAGTTGCCCC